GTGCTGATTTGGCTTCAGCTCTGAGATCAAACTCCTCAAACCTCAGAGAACTGGATCTGTCATGGAATGAAGTAGGAGATTCAGGAGTGAAGCGGCTCTCTGCTGGACTGAAGGATCCTCACTGTAAACTGGAGAAACTGGTGTAAGATCATACATTAATCTCAGCTGAAACAACATCAAGGGTTTACATGTGTTTATCAGTCTGATTCTCATTGGAGCTCTTGGTGTTTGAGCCATAAAATATTACTGATAATTACAGCGGGGTCTTAAAGTCTAAAATTTACAAATCAAAATTTTAGGTCTTAAATATTTTTGCTCAGGTCTTATTTTTCTGATGTAACGCTGCATTTAATGCTCATTTCAAGTCTTTTTAGTTGTTGTTTGTTTTTCGTGGTGTTGTAGTTCTTTATTTCACTAGTCCTGTTGTAATTTGCGGTATTACGACTACAAATGAGACCAACATGCAACAGCCAATGAAGTTTCTGGTATTGAACTCAGTGCACGTGGTGAATGTGATGTTATCGCAGAGTTTGCGGAGGTTCGCTTTGGGTGTGCGCCACATGATTTCAGCTGCTGGAGCTCCCGAAATATTTTGAGACTCAAGCGAACAGTTCGCGCAGCGCTGCGTTTCATATGAGTTGAATATGAATCATTTTGAATAATTTTTTCTGAAACAGGTACGCCTGTACAGACACCTTAATGATCCATGCGTGATCATCATAGAGATAACCAGATGGACAATAATTCATAGCTAGAAATTGCAGCAGTCGTGAAGAAGGAGGACAGATTTTGTTAAACAGTTTGGAAAAAGCTGAGGGATACGTTTGGTAAATCCAAAACAGGTCATGGCAAAAGTGACCCAGATACACAATTACAGAATATGTTTTCCACCAGTCATAGATTCAACACTGATGTAGATGTTACAGTTTTTATTTTTAAAACAATTTAATAGTTACAAAACTTTGGACCATTACTGCCTTTTTAGCTTATAAGTAGAGGACAGAAACTAGCAGCCAGTAATGTGTGAACTGTTGAGTGTGTAGAGATGCAACGATTAACCAGTTTTAGATTAGATTAGATTCAGCTTTATTGTCTTTACACATGTACAAGTACAAGGCAACGAAATGCAGTTTAGGTCTAACCAGCAGTGCAATAGCAGCAAGTGCAGGATACAGGTATAAGTTATAAAGTGCAGTTATAGAAAAACTATGGTGATATTTACAGATGATGTACTATCAACATTATATACAGGTTGTATTAGCTATGAACAGATTTACAATAGATGAATATATGTACAGGTTGCTGTAAGTAATCAGTTTCACTATTCACTATTAGTTTCACTATTAACTGCACTTTAATTCGTCACGGTTAATTAATCATGAAGGCATTTTAACACAGCATTTCTGCATGGAACAAAACTGCAGTAAATAAACAAAGTTCAGATGACAGGGTGTTTTTGTGACCACAGAAACTGCTTTTAGCTGACGCTCTAGAAAACTTTAACAATAACATTAGTTTCTTTTTTTATTGATCACTTTAATTGATTTTCCACCATTAAATCATCAAGCTTGTGTGTTGTCAGGTTGTCATCTAGTGTATGTGCTGCTGGTTTTAGGCTGTACTCACACTAGACTATCTGAACCATGCCTGGGCACATTTGACCCCCATATCCCAATTAGTTTGACTAGTGTGAGTGCTCCAGACCGCACCTGGACATGGTTCAGGTCAATCGTGTCTAGTGTGAGTGCAGTCTTAGAGTGAAGTGTGTGTGTAAAAGAGTGTTTCAGATTCTCACAGCGGCTCGACTGACACTGAGTGAAGAATCAGTTTCACACTTTGCTTTAATCCTGCAGTGAATCTCAGATGTTTATAGTTTTATTGTGTGTTTTATAGTTGATCAGTCTAATAACTGTGATTGTGTAATAAAAGCTCTCAACTATCTCAGTATAAACTTATTAAAGCTGCACACTTCATATTCTGATCATCAAACACATCCACACACCAGTAAAGCAGATTCCTGATCATGATGTTCAGATCACAGTGATTCATATTCAAATATAATCAAACTAAAGTAAACAAACTCACTGAAACATGAAGCACACACAGATTACAGGTTTAACTGTGTAAAGTCTCTGTGTGTGTTGTTGATCTGCTGAACTGAGAGTGAAGAGTGTGTTGTTGTTCTGCAGGTTGAGGTGTTGTGGCGTCTCAGTTGAAGGTTGTGCTGCTTTGGCTTCAGTTCTGAGATCTAACTCCTCAAACCTCAGAGAACTGGAGCTGTCTGAGAATAAAGTAGGAGATTCAGGAGTGAAGCTGCTCTCTGCTGGACTGAAGGATCCTCAGTGTAAACTGGAGAAACTGTGGTAAGATCATACATTAATCTCAGCTGAAATAACATCAAGGGTTTACATGTGTTTATCAGTCTGATTCTCATTAGAGCTCTTGGTGTTTGAGCCATGAAATATTACTTATAATTAACTATTAATAAAATAAAACACTGCAATAATGCTCTAAAACACTTCAACAATAACATCACATTATCTTATTTTATTTAGTTTATTTTTAACTTTTATTCATCACTTTAATTGATTTTCCTACATTAAATCATCAAGCTTGTGTGTTGTCAGGTTGTCATCTAGTGTATGTGCTGCTGGTTTTAGGCTGTACTCACACTAGACTATCTGAACCATGCCTGGGCACATTTGACCCCCATATCCCAATTAGTTTGACTAGTGTGAGCAGGGCTTAAAGTATTCCGGCACCATGCCGGATCTCCGGCGTGCGGCCGTGAGGGACAATTTTTTTTAGAGCCTGCGCATATGGTTTAATTGAAGGGATGCTCCAAAAAAAAAAAACGATTAACCGTTAACCGAAAGTGTGCTTTGTAACCGATTAATGGTATCAGTTAATCAATTAAAAAAATATACTTTATGTATTTTTAAAGTTTGGCTGCATAAGGGGCATCTGTTTAATGATTTACTAACGGTCGCGAGTGTTTTACTGTTGCGTGCTGTGTGCTCGAGCGGAAAAAGCGTGTTAACTCAGTCGCGTCTTTTTATTCTTCAGTCAAATGAAAGCACTGCAGGGTTTCTGTTGAGGTGTTAGCAGTTTTGGGGTTGACAAGGCGTGGCATACTATGGCATACTTTTAATGATGAAGCAGGAGAGACTTGTGGTCGCTGTTTTAAAGGGTCACGAAACACCAAAACACATTTTTTGAGCTGTTGACAGTCGTATATGTGTCCCACACTGCTAAAAACACTATTAGGACACCTATATTTCACTAAAAAGTGTAAATTGGTTGTTTTTGCGTTATTTCAAGCAAATTCGTTCTTCCTGTTTGAAACTAATTTTTGAAGCTGCGTCACGGTCATGACATAATAGCGTGTATTCCAGCGTGCAGACTGGGCGTCTGTGCCAGAGTGTGTCTTATTACGTCTTACGGTGTGATGCATTAATGCATGAGTAAGGCTTGGTTCAAACCAATCAGCGCGCTCTACTGTGCAACTTCATTAATATTCATTACTGTCACAGTGTTTAGACGACAGAGACGCCACGTTGTATTGGCAAAACAAGCGTGAAGTGTTGCCTTTATAGTTTGCTGCCGTTAAGTTTTGTTTTCATTTTCTCTCTGTGAGAGCTCAGAGTCACGTGTGGATTACAGTGTACGTGACGCGCGTCAACAATAACTTACGTGTCTAAGGAGGATTATTGTTTACCTGAGAGCTGTTCTCATCTGCAAACGCTGAGATCCGGATTCGCTTGTAGTCTTCTCTTCATAAAGACGCGGCTCTAGTTGCTGGTGATTGTCCTGTCTCTACAGATTTGGTAAGTGAGCGACCAGTGCTCTTTGTTTATTCAGTTTGCTCGTATCAAACTAAGTTAACTATTGCACTGAGTCACCGAGTGTAAACACGTTAGCATCACAACCAAACTTTAACCTCGTGTAGGGTTTTTACCGCATTTAGTGACCGGAATAACACACGCGGCTTTCTGACGCTACCTGCCGTGTGCATCTAAGTTTCCGGGAAATGCGGAGGGTTTTTTTCTCTCATTCCCCATGCGGTATCAAACATTGCATGAAAAATACACTCTTAGAGCAGCTCCTCGAATCAAATATCTCGTTTGTCGCGAGGGGCATGAATGAATTCCCTGAATGAAAGAGCCAAACTGCAGTTAAAGTCCAACATTTAATAATTTGGCAAATATTTCGACTACAGATGTCCATGTAGGTTAAACACCATCACTTTCTCCTGTCTGTGTATTTTGACTCTGTAACTCGAGCGTGCCCAAATAGACACTCCCACACCATCCCACTTTAGTTCCTCTGACACTCCCCCTAAACAGAGCTGGACACGCCCACTTTTCTGACTTTTTCCAAAGTAGAGGTGTGAAAACACCCTGCTGAAACGAGGGGGTTACATGGCCCTTTAAGTTTTCCAGCGCTGTATTACTTTACAGATCTTGAATATCACAATAGGCTATTATTAAAATTACATTTAAAACACGACTCGCACACACCAGCTGATTGAGTCGTTTTTTAGTGACATACAAAAGACCACCGCGCTTCTTCTTTTTTCTTGTCACAACTTTTCTGTTATGTAGCCAAGGACTACATAGGCCTACGTGATACAGCAAGTTCAAGTTCAGACATGAGCCTCGTTGGAAAACCCATATCTTGACGAACGAGAAAGGCGAACCAGTAATTTGTATGAAGCTATTCAAATCTCCAGAGCCATCTGGAGCCATCAATATGCGGAGCCAGCTTCGGTCGTGTCATCTTCTGAACGCAAACACCCAGCTAGTCAGCCAGGTATTGCAGAGCCTTTTTCAAAAAATGTCCAAATACAAAAGAGAAAGTGATAAATAGTAGACTGTGACAACAAGAAATGATGCAGCATATTTGGTAATTGAGACCGCGCCGCTCCGCAGTGCAGAGAAAACCAGCCTTCCGAGAAATGCAGGTGGCGGAGCAAGCTCTCTTTGCCACGGTTGCGAAAAAGTACTGCAGTCAAGTCAGCCACTGCGGTCAAGCCAGCCGCCAAGTCAAAATGAAAAGTCATTCTAGCCGTCATTTATTTTGGCGTCGCTCATACACTGCGTATTACGGTAGGGCGCCAAAAGAGCTGAACTGAACACAAATACTGTTGGCATGTTTGTCATGAAACATCTGCGTTTCTCACTGACTGATGATAAAATACTAAATAATAACGAAAAAACAACAAATTAATGCAACTAAATAACCATAAGCTCCAGATGGTTTTATCTGTAATTACAAAATAAAAGCCAAAATCTCATAAACAATACTTTTTTTTCCCCTGTATTCAAAAAGATATATCATAATAACGAATTGATTTCACTAGCTAGTTACACCTTTGATATATTGTAGACACTCCCATGGTATTGACTAAACACTTGTCATGGCCATCTGATGTAAAATTATAAAACAAAAGCTCTTTAAACCTTACACAAAACACGGTTTGCCATGATTAAAAGAAAAAAAAAATTAAAATACTAAACACTTCTTATGGGCATCTGATGTGAAATTATAAAATAAAAACCCTTTAAACCTTACACAAAACACAGTTTCTCCTGATTTAAATAAAATTACTAAAATAAAACTATTAGATATCACAGCCCAGTTTCACATCAGATTGATGACAGACATTACCATGGTGTTAACCAAACACTTCTTGTTGGCATCTGATGTGAAATTATAAAATAAAAGCCTTTTAAACCTTACACAAAACACTGTTTGGCCCTGATAAAAATAAACAAATAAATAAATAAAATTTTTAGATTTATTTTTAAAACTTTTAGATATCACAGCCTAGTTTCACTTTAGATTGATAATATACATTACCATGGTGTCAACTAAACACTTCTTGTGAGCATCTGATTTGAAATTATAAAATAAAAGCCCTTTAAACCTCACACAAAACACTGTTTGTCCTGATTTAAATTAAATTATTAAAATAAAACTATTAGATATCACACCCCAGTTTCACCCCAGATTGATAATAGACATTATCATGGTGTTAACCAAAGACTTCTTGTGGGCATCTGATGTGAAATTATAAAACAAAAGCCTTTTAAACCTTACACAAAATACGGTTTGCCCCGATTAAAAAAATAAATAAATAAATAAAACTATTTGATATCACAGCCCAGTTTCACCTCAGATTAATTGCAGACATTACCACAGTATTAACTAAACACTTCTTATGGGCATGTGATGTGAAATTATAAAATAAGAGCCCTTTAAACCTTACCACTGTTTGGCCCTGATTAAAAAAATATATTAAGATAAAACTATTAGATATCCCTGCCCAGTTTCAACTAAAGTTTCAACTTTAAAATAACAGCCCTTTAAAGGTTCAGGACACCCCGGAGAACTTTTTTTTTATATTAACAGATGTGTGTGTGTTGAGCATCAGTTAAGACAATGTTAGCACCTGTCAGCTTTAATTGTGGGGAAAACTGGATAATTTTGAGCTTTTGTCAGCTAATTTCAGCTTCCGGGTTTAAAATGATTTTTGGGGCGGATCAAAATCGACGACGTAGCGCAAAACTGCAAGTGCAATGATGACGCGTCGGTTTCTCATTATTATTCATAGCGGAGTTTTCTTATCCTAGACACATCACTGTGCTGCTGTGTTTGCCTAAATCCTCCAGATTACCAGCAGGGCTAACGCTTAAAATAGACAGGTCAGGAGACCTGCTGCACTGAGTCTGCTGGATACGGGGATTGAGGGAGAAGTCCTCATTTATAGTGTTTACATGAACACACTTATCTTTATAATGATATAAATTGTGGTTATGTGTTTATGAAATTACGAATAACAAATGTAGCAGGGCACTAAATCACTGTTCATTTCTTTGCATTTTAACTTTGTAAACTATAAACTCATGCATCTCCTTAGGTTTGTCTCATTTTGTGAGCTAACTGACAACAACAGTTGTTCGCTTACGTTCTCCCCTGCTGGCTACGCCCACTCCTGCCCGATGCTCGCGGAGCTCCACGCCCCTTAATCATACATCTTTTGAAAAAATTCTGAAGTAGACTTTAACCGAAAGTGGGGGGTGTCATGGCCCTTTAAACCTTACACAAAACACGGTTTTCCCTGATTTAAAACTGTTATTAAAATCAAACTATGAGATATAATAACCCAATTTTACCTCAGATTTATAGTAGACATTACAACGATATTAACTAAACACAGTTTGCCCTGATTTTAAAAAAAAATTTAGTTAATACCGTGGTAATGTCTACTATCAATCTGAGGTGGAACTGGTCTGTGATATCTAATAGTTTTATTTATTCATTTATTTTTAATCAGGGCAAACCGTGTTTTGTGTAAGGT